CCCCCCCCCCCCCCCCCTGTGCCCGCGCCGATATTTTGTTATCTTCCTTCCTCCCTTCGTGAAATCATACCCTTGGAATGAACAGCTCTCACCCTCGGACCCTGCTTGGTCGGCCTCCGGCTGCTGGTCGCCCTCGCCCTCGGCGCCCTCGCCGTCCCTCTGGGCGGGACTCATGGCGCGGAGCTCGGCCTCCGCTTGCTTCCACCTGGCCTGGTTGATCTTGAGGTCCAGGGTGCTGTTGTAGGGATTATACTCGAGGAGCGTCGACAGGAGCTGCTTGGGGGTACCAGGCGGACAAAAGCAGCAGCGGTAGCGGCAGCGCATCGGGTGGCAACGATGCAGGCGAGAGATCGATCGAGCGGTCGCAAGCGTAGACGATTAGCGGGGCGACGTCGAAGACACGCGATCACCGAGGCTGTGCCCGTAGAACCCGGGAGATCCAAACAACCCGGCCTTGTTCCAACGGCCGTCATCTAAACCATCGGAAACAAGCGGACAGTGCTTCGATGTTGCACAATATATTATAACCAGACGGTCGGGAGGAGAGAACTCTCCCGGCGCCCATCTCGAAACACTCAGCCGGAGACCAACACAAGACATAGCTCCGGCAGAGCGAAAAACTATCAACAACCGCTGCAACAAGCCAAAACTTCCAGACAGGCCAAACGCTCACAAAGACGGCTGTAGCTCAAGCACGCGCTTGCTTTTAATCAGGAAGACGGCCGTGGTGGAACCCACGGCCCATCCATTCCCCGCCCCCGCTTCCAGCAGTACTGTACCTTGATGGCCTCCTTTCGGACCAACGAGCTCTGGTCGCGCAGGCGATCCCTCCCGAGACGAGCCGCGATGAGGAATCGCTTGCGAGGGAGAGCCCCGCGCTCAGCGATCCTCCCCCAGGATCGAAGCACCGCAACCCTTCAACAGCCGAAACGGAAGTGAGAAGAAGAAGAGCAGAGCGACAAAACAGGAGTCAACACACAACAAGCACACCGAAAAAAAAAACGCTACATGTAAAAAGGAGTCGACTCACAAATAAAAGAGACATGCTAGCAAAGGCAATCAACGTCGTCCACGAATATGTCGACATTGGGGGCGTGGGGGGGTGCTTGTCGACTTGGTGTAGATTGCAGGACACCGCCGCTTCTCTGTGGTTGCCCGTGCGCTACTGCCGAGCGCAACCTGTTTGCTGCGGATTGAGTAGCTGGGAGCATTCCGCGTGCAACACTTTGGCAGGCAGGTTATCACTGCCTAGATCAGATCCCACAGCGACCACATGTATGTGCGTACGGCTCAACAAACACCATCAACAACCCCACCTAGGTCTCTGAGCACAGCGAAGTGAGGATTTACGTCAGGTTTAGCTCACCGCACGTAGGGCGAAACGTCCAGAGCGCGCTCAACCAGCTGGTCGAGGAGGGCATCCCGGTTGCGGTCTTTTATGCGGACACGCCGAGGGTCTGCCTGCACCTGCTCTCGTACAGCCGCAAGAAGCACAAACATCAAGAAAAACGTTAAAAAACAAAACAAAACAAAGGCACCCCCGCGTTGCCGCAAAAGGGGACTATTCGACATCCGCTCCCTGTGCTCGTGCTGATGGTGTCGAACAACAACAGTGTCAGCAAGCAGGGCGTCTGCTGGGCGCAAACCATGGACGTCACGAGGGGGCTAATTCGTGAAGGGGACAGATGAGGGAGGGGGGGGGCGAGCACAGAGTTTTGCAGTAATGATTCTCCTCGTGTGTCATCACCCTCGCCAAGTACAATCGCGGAAAAAGTGGAAACAACTCTCCGTTGCATCTTACCACGCGCTGACCACGAAATGGACGCAGAACATTCGTTCCAAATATTAGACAGGAACCACGGGGAAGTCAGAAGCCCCGTGGTTGAACGCAGCGATATCTACCCGAAGAAATGAAAAAATGTAAAAATGGCCCCCTCCCACCCCCTCCCTCCCATTCCGGAACGTGCAGACACGTAGATCCAAGACAAAGCATGAAGCCGCCGCATGCATGTATGCTGGCCGGCTCGAGAGGCGGGCCAAGCAGGAAGCCTCCGCATCCCACACAAACCAGGCACTACACAAACAGAAGCGCCCCATGTATCTACCAACGCAGGAAAGACAGAAACGCATCGCACAGGCGCCCGCGTAAATTGGACAAGTACCGACATGTGGAAGGTGCTGAATAGAGACCGGAACAGTTCTAAACGCGAAAACAAGAGCATCACTCTCACCTGGCTCTCATCCTCTCCCCCGTTGCTGCCGCGGCCGGCCGCCGCTGCGCCCTCGGCCGCCGCCCCTCCGTCCGCGCCACACTCCGACGCCGCCTTATCCTCGTGGGCGGCGGTAACCACCTCGGCGAGGCTTAAGACGACCGCCTGGCGGATCTGGTAAGGCCGGCTGCTGAGGTGAGGGAGCAGCACGCTCGCGTGGGCGTGCACGGTGCCCGGCAGGACCTCCGCCAGCTTGTGGAGGAACTCGGAGACGTTGATCACCGGAGCCGCGGCGGCCGTGTTTTTGCTGAAATCGGCGTTGGTTTTGGGGTGGTTTTCGGTCGAAGTAAGAGCAGTGCACGTGGTGTCCGGTCGAGACTGAGCAAAATAAGTAGTTTTCGGTCAAAATAAGAGCAATGTACGTGGTTTCTGGGAGAGACATGAGCAACGGACGCCGGGAAGGTGCGCAAAAGCGATGGCGTAGAGTGTCTGAGGGTCGAGAGGCGGGGGGAAAGCGCGTCCGACCCGAGTATCTCTCCAACATTCAACTCGTGCTCCCATCCCACCACGTGGCCAATAACAAAAGAACAGTTGCAGGATAAAATCCAACCATACACTGGGTGCGTCTGTTGCTTTTTTGTATTCCATGCCGGCATCCTTGCCAACAAGCAACGAACACACGAGGCAGTTAGAATACCCACTACACGCAAAGGATGATGAACAGCTTCCGGTTCATCCTTGTGGGATTCAGCCGGTGAAAACCCGGCAAGCACATCGCTCCGTCCCGGTGTACGGTCTACCGACTATAATAGTACGGCATGCGCTACTACACCCCACACCTGTTGATATCGGGCATCTCCATGCGCCCAACCTCCCGCGCTAGCTCCGCCCCTAGTCGCGAGTCGCCGTGCCTCTCCACGAGGCGCCAACACAGCCTGGCCACGAAGTCGGCGAGGTGCTTGCACTCCCTCACCAGCAGGAACACCGCCGCGGTCACCTCCGTCTCCATGCCCTGCACCAGTTGGAACGGCTTCGCGATGAGCTGCGACGCGAGCTCCGCCTGCCGGGAGCCGCCCCTGGACGTCTCCGGCAGCTCTAGCATCTTGCAGGAGAGGCGGAGGAACAGGCTCATGAAGGAGCGGTCCGGGATGCCCTGCCGCCACAGGCGGGACGAGTCCACCGTCAGCGCGAGCCGCATGCTCTCCAGCACGGCCTGCCGCGCGGTCTCCCACTTGAACGAGCCGCTGTCGGGCGAAGATTTCCTGCTCCCTCCGCCGCCGCCGCGGCTGCCCTTTCCCTTGGCGGGCTGCTTGGTCAGGCCCGCCGTCTTTCGGTTCAGCCGGCGGACGTATGTAGAACGGATGGAGTTGGTGAGTGATGGTGAAGCATGCGCATGAGTCGCCTCGCTCCACGTGGCCAAGTAAATTAAATTGGTACTTACGTACATTGGGCACGACGAATACCGCAGTATCTGACACAAGAATGCACACTCCGGTGGTACTAGTAGGGTTCCCAAGAAATATTTTCGGGGGTGGTATTCAATACTTCGAGGCATATCCTTACTGCTTGAACTGAGAGTAGTTTGTGTTTGGGCATGTTGGATAAGGACAAAGGCTGCACCCCTCACTAGAAGGATACTTTTCGATGTCTCTCGCGCTACCTTACTTACAGCACTGCCGCACTGCAGTAGTTTTCCACACAAACCGCCAGCCAACCAACAACAGAGGCGGGGTTGCCTGCATTTCCCCGTTCTCCCCCCGGATATGCATACCTGCTTGGCGCTCGAGTAGCACTCTTCCGACGGGAAGGCCGCGGAGTACAGCAGGTACACAGACATCTTGAAAGCGTTTCGCAGCGGCAGTTCCGCTTGTCCGTGCTGCTGCTGCTGCTGCTGCTGCTGCTGCTGGCTGCTGCCCTCCCCCCCGTCTCCCTCAACAGATCCCCGTCCGCGCCCGCCGCTCCTCCCGTTACCCCTGCGGCCTCTCTTTTCCAGCGCGGACACGGTTTTCTGCACCGTGTCGTGAAGGACGCTCAAAACTCTCCCCTTGATCTCGCTGCGCAGGTGCTTGAAGTCGCTGTGTCCGGGTTTATGTAGCATGATTGTCGGGTTTTTCATGATGTTCGGATAGACTTACAAATCCAGTAGGGTCCACGACTTTCGCTTGATCAATGCTTGTTGGAGGCGTATTGGTACTCGCTGATCGGGTCGGGATTGGTAGACTTCGATGGTCAGTTGATGCTCTACATATAACGTGCACTGTTGTTTGCAGCTGGGGGTGACAACAACGCCAGAGCAGATGCTTGTACTTGCAGACCCCCAGTATTCTTTAGTCTACACGTTGCGACTTGCTGTGGACAGACAAGCTGCTGAAGATGGACCGCATCTCAAGCACTGAACAAGGAGTTACTGGTCTAGGTCAGGAAGAAGGGCATGGAAGCCGGTGTACGAAGGGGCGTAAGTACTACGCCTCTAGTGGGAAATAGGGCCGTCAGCACGTACCTGTATCATAACCGCAGCAGTACAAGCAAGCAAGGTGCTACACGAAGACTATAATTAACAGCGAAGGTTCGCTGTCTGCTGTTCTTGTCAAACCAAGGTGCTAAAATGGTACACTTCCATATCTGCTACGGACAGGCCCGCCGACGGGATGGCAAGAGATGCGCAAAGCACAGGCACTGACCGGACGAGCGAAAACAAGTGATCGAAGTTCTCCTGCTTCGAGAGTGCGTCGGCGTCGCCTTCAGTGAGCCGTGCGCTCAAGCTATCCAAGAGGTCGTTCAGCCTGTCCGGAGTCTTGTCTGCCAAGCTTGGGAGGTCCGGCGAGGCGCAGAACCGGCCCGCTTTCTCGACCTGCAAGGACGACAAGTTGCCCAGATCCTCAGGCATCTGAAAGTCCTCCATGGTGGAGGGTGCTGTTGGCGTGGGTGAGCAGCACACTCGCAGCTCGCTCGCACGCTCTCGCCACGTGCACTGAAATGTCAAACGGCCGAAATGAAATCAGGGGGGCGAACACCTGAGAATGGTGGATGCTCCCTGGCGGGATTGATGGTACGGGCAAATACAGAGGCGGAGCCCCTTCTGTCTTTTTGCAGCTTTTTGTTGCTCTTGCTTCGCAAGTGTTGGAGTTCGTCAACAACACAGCAGTCACCGGAGCACAAGACTTGCTAGATAACCTGCGTCCGCAGCAGACAGGCTACAAGGGAAGACAAGCATTCAACCAGCTTGCAGTTTCCCTTGCCCTGCGGTTGTGCGGGGGGCGCACCTCTCCCCCTCCGCTACCGGTGTCTGTCTCCCGTGGCGAGGAAAGAGTTCGCCAAAGGAAGGAGACAGCGAGAGGCGGCGGGTGCCTTGCGTGAAACCAGCGGGCAGAGAGAGCGACGACGACGAGGATGTTGGCGGGACGCCATGGGGCCGATGTTGACGAGTTCGACAACCAACTCAATGATCCCGGGCAGTACGACAACCCTCAAGACCCGGCGAGCCTCTCGGTGGTTGAGCACCTCCGCGCGTTCTCGATCCGCGGCAAGTTGACCCTCCTGTACGTCGCCGGGGTGATCGTGTTCGTGCTGTGGAAGCTCGACTGGGTAAGTCAAGGCGTGGCGCGCTCTGCCAGCTCCCTAGACTGCTGTCGTGTTGTTTAGGCAGGAGAACCGGAGACATTGGTCCCGGCTGTTTGTTGTTGTTGGACACACACGCAGGCTCACTCCTTGCACAAAATCCATGATGAATGAATGATGATGCAAATCGCGTTGGGCGCCCACAATGTGGAGCAGCAGGAAGCACCTTTCCCTGTCAATGCGGACAGTTTCCTGCAGTACGTACAGAGGCCGAACAATTACGTGAGGAAACATAAATACACAGAAATACGTATTAGAAACACACGTGCAGACATTGGGCGTTTGGCATTTGCCCTTTCCTCAGCGCATGGGCGACCGGGACAGTTCCAGGTGTGTTGGTTGTTATACTGTTGGAATCGCCATGGCCTTTGAGAGCGGAGGGTTCTTACCAAGTATGTAGCATCCCATGTGGGCACACGTGTTCGTCACCGCTCGATTTGCGCGTGTGCCCCGAGTGCTGTTCCTGCACCCCCGAGCGGTGACGCCTGGCTTGATTGCCGAGGTTTTACGGCTGTAGGACGGTGTCCAAGCGTCTAAGAGACACACACGCACAGGGGCCGGCTCCATGCTTTTGTCAGTTTTTTTTTTTTTCCATCATTGGACTCTGTCGTCTGCCCCTCTGGCCCTTATCCTCCACTTGTACGAGCTAGACGACCCGACCGGGATCACACAGAAGGGGGGGGGGGTTGGACCCCCTCCTGCGGATCCTGTCTGAGATATCACTTATCGCGAGAAGGGTACAACAATCCCTTCCCTCGCGCCTTATGAAGTCGATTATGGTTTGTTTACTAACAACGAACTTTGCAACGGGTCGCTTTCATACCAGGATTTATTTAGTGAGAAAAAACTGACACTGCCGGGACTCGAACCCATGACCTGGCCGTCAGCAGGCTGCGAGAGTACCCACTAGACCACCGGGGCGACCATATGATAGCAGAGGAAAGCAGGCAACGCGAACTATATTAACTCCTTCTACACGCGTACAGTACTCAAAACCGTGTATGCAAGTCTAGCTGCTGCTGTACCCGGTAGCCTCATAGACAAGTAACACCGCCAAAGCAAACGCCCCGTTTCCCGCTCCCCGCCCGGTGTTCACGGCGGCTGGTCTCCCGTCTTCGACAACAACGAAAAACACACCCAGGTGATCGCGTTTGCGTGCATGGCGTCGTTCCTCGTGTCGGCGGCCCCCTTGTTCGCCTGGTGGAGCCGGATCCGCTTCAGCTGCCCGCTCGACCTGGTGGTGAGGAGCTTCGGCCTGGGCATCTTCGCCATGGTCTGGGTCGTGTACATGCTCTTCCGCCTGTGCAGCACCGGGCCAATAGGGAGGCTCTTGTACATGATGTTCGGGAGGCTCGTTGGCGTTGTGGTGAGGCTCTCCTCTTCCCGAAGGAACCTTGAAGGTTTTATTTGGAGGTTTTGTTTGTAGCATAGTCACATGTACGCCATACTTGTCTTGTGCCCGGTTTGGTTTTCAAACATGTCTTGTTGGATTCGTTGGGTCACATTCAGAAAAAAATACATGTGTCTCGTTTTGTCGACCAGGCAGGCAACGATGGGAGTGTCAGCACTTGACGCTCTCACTGGTACGTTGCGAGCTACACAAGCGCCTGTTGGTTGAAAAATTGAACATTTCGTTTTTTTTTTCTCCCGTCATTGGACTCTGTCGTCTGCCCCTCTGGCTCCTATCCTCCACTTCTACTAGCTAGACGACCCAACCGGGGTCACATAGGAGGGGGGGGTTGGACCCCCTCCTGCGGTTCATGCCTGAGGTATTTTTATCGCGAGAAGGGTACAGCAATCCCTTCCCTCGCGACTTACGAAGTCGATTATGGTTTACTAACAACAAACGAGCTTTGCAGCGCGTCGCTTTCATCCTAGACCAGGATTTATTTAGTGAGAATAAAACTCTCTCTGCCGGGACTCGAACCCATGAACTGGCCCTTAGCAGGCTTCGAGGCTACCCACTAGACCACCGGGGCGACCGGGTACAATGTTTACCTCCGAATAACCATATTTAGTTGAGCCACGATGTATACCAGACCCCGTCGGCGAGATTCCCTCGACGCGTACATGTACCAGAATTACGTATCTCGTTTGGAGGTCGTCTGGTTTTGTGGTACGCCATCGCCAGTGTCGTTCCATTCTTGTCGCCCGTGGAAGGAAAAACTCGCAGCTCGCAGTCCCATGAGCCTCTTGCTACGCCGTTGAGGCGACGGCAGCCTTTCGGAAGGAAAGGGCGGTGACAGCAGTAGTTGAGGGTCGGGGACGTTTTCGAACAAGCCTCATAGGATTCAGCACGCAGCGGAGGCGTGTCCGTCGAGGAGCGGGGCTGGGTCCCAAAAGTTCGATGCCGAAAGAAAAACACAGCGACGACGACACACGAACTGCATTCTTTTCGTACATGTAGCCGACGATGACGACAATTTTGACGTGACCTGTTCCGTGTCCGTTGCAAACCGCGTTGCCTCATCAGCCTCCTGCCTGCCCCCTGCCCTCCTGTTGCATACTGCCTTCCCCACCTACGTTGGCGGATCGCCATTCTGGTATATCGTGCGCGCGAACGTCTGGGGCGCGATTCTCCTGTGCCCTCCGTCGCCCTGTTTACTTCGACTAAGGTTCTGATCATCCTCGTTGGGTTGGAGGAGATGGTCAAGGTGAGTCAAGGCGAAGCGATTGATCATGCGCTCCCGACACTCCGCGCTAAAGTATATTAATGAACGTGCACGGCTGGTTCCTCTGTCTTCTGTCAAGAGGGAGAGTGTTAAGAACGGGGTTGGGGGTAGGAGGAGCGGAAGCCTTTCTTCCTGCTAGAGAGGTTGTAGAACGTACAAGTGCAACGAGATATGAATCCATCTTGCCGACCATAAGTTGTCCAACTTTCACTCCTCCGCATCCGCCTCTCTTTTTTCGTCATTCGTTGTATGTCTACCAGTGTTTTTTTGCATTTGTCAAAAACATCTAACGATCCAACACGATATAAATCGTATCATATGGCGTGCTCTTCCTGACTCAACAACACGCCGTGCCGTTTTTTTTGTCCTGCATGCTGCCGTAAAAATGAACAAACAAACGAACTAGGTTATCTTCGCTCGGTGGAGCAAGCGAGACGTGGCCATCGGACGGGAAACAAAGGCGCACCAGATCGCGGCGACATCTACCTCCGTGGGCTACTCGGTCGGGTTCTCTTTCTTCATGTGAGGTTCCCTTCTCCCGCGCTCGCTGCTACACATGTGGGAACTGGTGTTGTCGCGCGCAAGCTGCAGGCGGACTTCTTTCTTGCATCGAAAATGTTCGTTTAGCCGGTATGCGTGCATGCTTGCGGGCGTCTCTGCTGTGTGGCGCTTTTTGAAGGTTTTAGGTCTATTGGCATGTGTGATTACAAAAGCAGATTTGTTTACGAAAATCACAAGTGGCAAGTATTTGATTGAGCCCAGAAAGAAAACGTTGTGAGTATTGTGTCATCACCGCGTACGGATGCTCGCGCTGTTGGTTTGGGTAGTGACGTGTTTCTTGCGTCTGACCGTTTCCCTTCCGCGCGCCTGCTCAATCATGATGGTGGTGGACAATTTTGTTCTGTCCAGGATAATCGTGCTTGATCTCGAGGTCGACCTCTTGCTGGGGATCCAGGCAGACTCGTCCGCCGACATGATCGTCGCGCTGCTGGCGCTCCTCATCACCACCATGTTCGGCACGCCGATGCACGTCCTGAGCGGCTACCTGGTCGGGCTGGAGGTGACCCGCCAGACCCACTTCATGAAGGTAGCCCTGTATACGTTCCTCATCAGATCACTCTTCATGGTGAACATCTTCCTGTGGGTCTTCCTGTTCCGGACGTGGCAGCCCATCATGGCTGGTGAGTGGCCTGGTGCTGGGCGGTAGACAGAAAGGCGGCAGCGAGTTTTGGTGCTGTTGCTGCTGCTTTGCTGCTGCGGTAGCAGGAGGTTTGGCGATCCATCCCATCCACGAACATCGTGTTGAGTTTCCTTACAATACGCCAAACCACGTATGTGCAGATTCCCTGCTGTGCTTTTATCTTTGCGTCCGACTTTTGGTGCAGAAAAGTTAATTTTTATGCTTCAAACGATGTGCTCATTCCCTCAGCTCCTCTCTCCCCTCTCTCTTGCTCGTTGTCGCTGTGTGCCTGCCTCTCCTTCCACAGGCCTCTTGCTGACGAACGTGTTGATATGCTGTGCCATGGTGCACCGCATCAAGAAGGTGGAGGCCACCCTGCCCGTGGAGTATCTTCAGCGTGTGGGATACCTCCAGGTACGAGAAGCATCCACTCCCTGAAATTCAGCAAAGCGGATGAACCGCTCGGGCAGTCGATGCAATTGTACAAACGCGTAACTATTTGACCCGAGTAGAGCATCGCCGTTTGTCCGCCAGTACTGCTGTGAATTTGACGAAAAAATGGCGTTTATTTGACCTCCCAGCGCCTTCTGTAGGTAGCACCTAAAAACGGCGTGGGGATGGCTAGTTGGCAGCACGTACAAGTAGTCATTCCGTACCGCATTCCGCATGGCTGTGGTGCAACGTGTTGTGAAGAAGAGCACGGCCGCGGCGCGAAACGACGTTTCGCGTGTAACGCAGGCGTTTTCCCAGGGCTGTTCGACGACGCTTGGTGCGCTTGTTCGTATTTCTGGAAGATTCAAACCCCCAATCCCGCACTAGTTGCTCTGGTAGGGTCTGCGGACTTGTGTTTTCGGGTTCGTGTTTTCTCCTCCCTGACCCTCCCTTTTTTCGCGCGCTACTGCTGGACGACTGCCTGCAACTCTCTCGTAATCGCCGCCACAACCGCCGTGCCCCCATGGCTATGAACCTGGCAGGCTTTCGGTTACGGTGTTCTTCCTGGCGGAGATGTAGACGAGGTAGAAATCCCGAGCAACATGGACGTAAACACTCTGGTCTAGGAGCAGGAAGACAAGTATGGCAGTGTCGATCAGCTGGGACGCGGTGGTTACGCCTGCGAAGAGCAAAAGGAGCTTTGGGCGAGAGCCAAGAGGAACGTCTGCTGCTGCTACTGGTGTTGGCGGTGATGAGTGCCACCGGGGTTTGGGCGCGATGGGGTGAAGGGAAACGGTGCATGGATAGAACGAGAAACCGTTGTGTCTTTGCAGGCGGTGGCGATGGAAGAACTCTCTTTCGTTGGTGGGAGTGGAAGGGGTGGTGGAAAGGCGGGGGCGGCGGGGGGGGGGGGG